TAATAGCCATAGCTTATTTTCGAAGTGGTTTTCTGAGGCAAGTACATTGACGTTATTACGAACACTAACTTTATTTTCTCTTATAAAGTTTTGCTTACATACCCTTTTTGTTAATTTGTTCCTACACGATGTGAATGTCACGTTAGCCTTTTTACTTATTACACTTAAAGGACAGAGAATTCATAAAATTATTTAGCGGTTTTTCTAAGTGAATGAGTTTGTTTCGTTTGTCACTCTAATTCTCAATCTAATTTAAAAGCAAACACTTTCTCTAAGAAAATTCTTGGAAAGAGAATCCATAATTTTGTTTAGCGGTTTTTTTAAGTGAATGAGTTTATTTTGTCACGTGAGGAAAATTATGCTCAAAACCCTCTACGCAATTCGCAATCTAATTTAAAAGCAAACATTTTCTCTAGAAAATCATTGAAATTTTTTTTGTAGAGTGGAAAACTTGTGCTAAAGATGTTCGACCAAATAGATGAAATGGCTGAAGATGGCAAATGTTTGGTTTTTGTCTTGATTGATGAGGTGCTAATTAGCTTCTTTTCTCAAAGTCGCCAGCTATAAGATATAATAAGTTCAGGTGGAATCTCTCGGAATGTCACGTGATGCATCGACGAGTCGAGGAGATCCAGCTGATTCGATACGAGCAGTGAATGCACTTCTCACCCAGATTGATAGAATCAGACGGTGATCGCAGACTATTCTTCTATTATCAAATTCTCCATAGAGTTAGTATTGCAGCCGCACAAATGTGATTGTTCTCTGCACATCGAATCTTGAGGACTGCTTAGATAGCGCTTTGCTGGATCGCGCAGATGTTGTAAAACATGTAGGACAACCATCCATAGTTGCCTTATATACTATCTTAGGCAAATGTATTGAAGAACTCATCAGGGTAAAGCAAGAAATGGCATTTCTTTTATACTTTTGTATTCATTTCATAACATTTTTTCTCAGATCGGTGTAGTCATCTCAGAAGAACGACTACCTTCTATCAGAGAGTTGAAAAATCAAG